CAAGCACCAGCTTGGTTGCCTGGTGCCTGGAGCCGGCCCTGCACAGACTCTTCCACTCTACATCTAAGTACCATTTTATTCCAACATACACCTGCAGTGCATGCATCTAATTCCTCAACAAAAACAAAACAAAAAAAAACCACACTCAAACACCACAGCCTTAACTCTAACCTTAGCTCAATTAAGATATATTCTCTGCAGACAGACATACAGGTCAAGTGCATAATGTGTCATATGTACATGAAAACATCTGAGGTCAGAGTTAAGGTTTTGCATTTGAGTCTGACTATGATACATTGGATGTGTGTGCTGTCCTAGTCCCTCATATTAACATTAATGGAAGGGGAGATCTGAAGCAGTCAGAGCACAGAGCAGCATAGCTTTTATGGTTTGCCAGAGTGAAGCCCCACTCCGGGAGACCTGAAGCTCCACTCTGGGAGACCTGGACTAGAAGTAGTGTTGGCAAGCTTAGCAAGTGAGAGAGGTTGGGGAGAAGGAGACATGCAGGATGGTAAGAAGGCTGGGGAGCAAAACTGGAAGCAGAGTGGCAAGTTCCACGTTTGTCAACTTTAGCACAGAGCACGTTCATGTGATGGGGCTAGGTCAGGGAAGCTAATGGCAACAGTGATGTGGAGCTTGTTGATCCCCTACTGAGCTCTTTTGTCTAGGATGAACTTCCTGTAATTCCCCAGAAGGGGGGTCCTGCTCTGACAAGCCTGTAGAATTCTTTGAGACTAGGAGTAGTGCTGCCAAGGGAGAGCTTGGCAACACAACTCGGAGCCTGGGGAGGAGGCATGAATAACAAGAATCACAGATGATGGAGTGGGAAGGCATTGTGGCAACTAGGGTACAGGCTGTAACAGTAAACTAGGGAGGGAGATGAGGCCGGGAAAGCAGCCTGGGAGAACAGAAGTGGCCAGCAGATCTGGGCTGTTCAGATTTGTCTTTGCAGACCTAGAGTAGGATTGATGAACACTAGAAAAACAACTCCCCATCTATTTCATTTTAAAAATTGAATATTGACTTTCCCTGAGCTGTTATGCTAATGTGTGTGAGAAACTTGTACTTTATGGGGACTGTAGTTCTTTAGCTACAGGAGGCTGAAAGATGTCTGAGCTGCATTTTGCACTATGGTTTTACCCACATAATTGGTTTTGGGAATTGGTTCTATGGTGGACACCTGGGCTAATATAAATAAGGGGCTCCAGCATCTTTTTGCAAGCCTTCAACTATTTGGTCTGATTTGTAACATCAGATAATCACAGGAAAGGCAACTACAGCTTCTATATAACTACAACAGTGCTGACCATTTAGTGCTCTTTTGAGAGGGTACCAGTGCCAATAATCCAGCAACAGTTAACTTTAACAGACACAAGCTTTTGCCCAATCTCAGCGCGCAATTACACTGTGACTTGTTATGAAAAATAGATTGGGCAATGTATGTTGCAGTGACTTCTTTCCTGTATAGAGGATCTGCTAACACATTATCTAATAACAAACTGTATGGTCGTGTAAACCTGAAAGGCAGAGGATGGGGGAGGGATATTCCTGTTGTCAGACAAGACTACTTTATTTTTATAGTGTCTTTAATATGTTCTATAGCCACAAAAGTTCTTTTCTTGTTTAACTCCACATAACAGACAAAGTGAGAACTTAAGCTACCGGCAAAGGAGAAATTTTCTTCAGCTAAGATCAGATACAAAGTAGAGACACCACTTTCTCTATTTCCTGGCATACACCTAGAGGACATTACTAACTAGATGTGTGTGTGATTGCAAATTTGTATTGATTTTCCTAAAATGCAAGATGTGTTCAGATCTGAGGTTTTGGTTTCAGCTTCCTCCATCTCTAAAAAGCTTATAATTCCTTTTTGGGAAAAGAGGAAAGAAGAGAGATACCTGGCTGTGTGTCGTCCGTCCCCCGCCCCCCAACCCACCAAAACAAGCACTTAGGGCAGTTGTCTTCAGCCTGTTTTCATTTGCGGACCACTACAATTTTGCAAACAGAGGTGCGGACCCCTTTGGAAATCAGACAGTCTGCGGACCCTCATGGGTTCCCGGACCACAGGTTGAAAACCACTGATTTAGGGGATTAGCCAAAGCCCACAGAAGTCAAGGGCAATCTTTTCATTGACTTTACATGGGTTTGGATCGGCTCCTCTGATGCTGATATGATGGCACTATACAAACAAGGGCTTCTAAAGTCAGGAAGAGCTGGTGTCCCAGCCTTTGACCGGAGCAAAAGTGTCCCAAGCCCTTTCCCGGGCGGTCATCTCAGAAATTGGCTCGGGAATTAGCCAGCAACTCTTCTGGGGCTGGCTGGAGCAAAGCGCCCTTCGGGGCCACGTTCTCGGAGCTGGGCGCTGAAGTCTGGCACCTGCCCTACGCTAAACCCCGGGCAGCGCTTAGCTGCCCGCTTGCCCGGGCGCCCAGATGCCCCGGCATGTCCCCGCGCGCTCACCTGCTCTGCCCCTGGTCCGTGTAGCGGGTGAGGAAGAGCCCGTCTAGATTCTCGCTCAGGGGCCCCCTGAAGCTGAGCTGCAGCACGTAGCGCCCGCCGGCCCGCAGGCTCCGCCGCAGCTCCAGCACCGCGTACTCCTGCCGCTCCTTCAGCCACAGCTCCGCCACCTCGATGCCGCCGCCGCCGCCGCCGTCCGGCCCCTCGAGCAGGGGCCCCCGCACGGCCGCCCCCCACAGCTCCAGCTCGGAGCTGTGCAGCAGGACGGTGGCCGTGTCCTGGGCGCAGCGCACCGTGATGTTCACCTGCCCGGAGAAGACAAAGGGGCCGGGCTGGCCGGGGCTCAGCCGGGGCCAGAGCCGCAGCTCGTAGTGGAGGGGCAGCAGAGCGCGGGGCAGGCGGGAGTTGTCCCAGACCCCCGGCGGGCGCGTGCTGCCGGGACTGGGGCTGGGAGCTGGGGGGCAGCAGCCGGCGCCCTCCTCCTCCGGGCCGGCTGTGGGCGAGGGGGGAGCCGCTGCAGCCCGCAGCTCCTCCACCTCCTGCAGGCAGCGCCCGTACAGAGCCCCCAGCACGGCCAGGGCCAGCAGCAGCGCGGCCAGCAGCAGCGCGAGCAGGGCGGCGGGCTTCCTGCCCAGGTAGAAGCCGGAGGCGGCCTTGGGGCCCATGGCAGCAGGCGCCGGGAGCACGGCGCTGTCTAGGGGCGCCCAGTTACTCTCCGAGCCCCGCAGCGAGTGCGGCTGGGCTGCACCCTGCGCGCAACAACAAATACCCTGGGAGCGCGGGCGGAGGTGGAGCCCCTCCGGCGAAGGGCAAGGCAGGAGGAAGGGGAGAGGTGCCCACGCTCCCCGCTTGCTCTAGAGGTGGGAAAAGGTAAGAGGCGGATCCACTTGGATCCTGCCCATCTTTGGCCCCAAGCCTTCAAACTGTATCATCAAAAACTGAGACTGAATCCAGACGCTCTTCTCTCTCTCTCTCTCTCTCTCACACACACACACATAAAAATTCCTGGTGCATCTCAGCACAATAGTGGGTGAGTCAGACACATTTTAGCCCCCGATTCCTCACATTCTAATACCTAAATAGAGGACAAGTCTAGCTCCTCCTACAACACCAAAAAATACTTGATCCTGGCACATCCTCACATGCCAGCACCACAAAAACCTAGATCCACTACCTGGATCTGGCCATACCCAATCAATTTTTGGCCCTCCCCCTTGAAATTCTATGGCATGAACAGAGAACAAGTGTAGCTACCCCAATGCACCAAAATACATAAAAACAATGAGGAGTCCTTGTGGCACCTTAGAGACTAACAAATTTATTTAGGCATAAGCTTTCATGGGCTAGAACCCACTTCATCAGATGCATGGAATGGAAATTCAGTAGGCAATACACAGCACATGAAAAGATGGGAGTTGCCTTAGGAGTGGGGGGTCAGTGCTAAGGAGGCCAATTTAATTAGGGTGGATGTGGCCCATTTCCAACAGTTGACAAGAAGGGGTGAATATCAACAGAGGGGAAATTACTTTTTGTAGTGCTAACGAGGCCAATTCAGTTATGGTAGATGTGGCCCATTCTCAACAGCTGACAAGAAGGTGTGAGTATCAACAGAGGGGAAATTATTTTTGTAGTGACCCAGCCAGTCCCAGTCTTTATTCAGACCTAACTTGATGGTGTCAAGTTTGCAAATTAATTCCAGTTCTGCAGTTTCTCGTTGAAGTCTGTTTTTGAAGTTTTGTTGTTGAAGAATTGCCACTTTTAAGTCTGTTATTGAGTGTCCAGGGAGGTTGAAGTGCTCTTCTACTGGTTTTTGAATGTTACAATTCTTGATGTCTGATTTGTGTCCATTTATTCATTTGCATTGAGATTGTCTGGTTTGTCCAATGTACATGGCAGAGAGGCATTGCTGGCACATGATGGCATATATCACATTAGTAGATGTGCAAGTGAACGAGCCCCTGATGGTGTGGCTGATGTGATTAAGTCCTATAATGGTGTCCCTTGAATAGATATGCGGACAGAGTTGGCAATCCGGTTTGTTGCAGGGATTGGTTCCAGAATTAGTGTTTCTGTTGTGTGGTTTGTCCACATAGCTATTCAAGGGACATCATCATAGGACCTAACCACATCAGCCACACCATCAGGAGCTCATTCACCTGCACATCTACCATCTCTGTCAGTAAGCAACGAAGTTGTGGCTTTTCTGTATCAAGGAAGGCATTATTCCAACAGCCAGTGACTTATCCATTGTTTAGAATCACTTGGCTGATCACCTCACAGAAATTTCTCCCGGAATCATGAGTGGTCTCCGAAGAGCAACATCCAGGGATCCATCTTCAGAGAATGGGGCATTCCATTGGTCGACTTGTTTTCAATGAAAGACAACAGGGACTGCTATCAGTTTTTCTCTCAAGGAGGTCTCAATCTCAAGCCTTCCATCTGAATTGGGGGATCGGCCTCTATGTATACCTTCCTCCACCCCGGATTCCACTCATCCCTCAGGTTATTCTCAAACTGACGCTAGATCATGCTGAACTGATACTCAATGCACCAGTCAAGACAATTTTGGTTTTCCAGTCTTCACAGTCTGTCTGTCCAGCCCCCCAGACATCTTCGTCTTCTTCCCAACCTACTGATGCAGCACCACAATCAGATATTGCATCCAGTACTGAGCAGCCTACACCTCACAGCATGGATACTGCATGGCTAGATGAGGAGGAAGGGCAATGTTCAGTGGCAGTTCAGCATGTCCTACTTAGTAGTAGAAAGCCATCTACTAATTTGGCCAAGTGGAACATTTTTCAGTTTGATTAATGGCTCAGGGAATTCAGCCAAGACTTGCCTGCATTCAAGTCATTTTGGATTACCTGTTATATCTGAAATCCTCAGGTCTCACTTTGAACTTGTTGAGGGGTTTTTAGCCACGATCTCGGCATTCCACTCTCCAATCCAAAGGATGTCAATTTTTGCCAACTCAATGTATTGCCTACCCATATGGGACCTCTGTTTGATCCCCTAGTAACTTGTTCTCTGTCCCTCCTTTGCCAAGTGACAGCTTTTTTAATTGCCATAACATCTGCAAGGAGAGTAAGTGAACTGCAGGCCCTAATGGCAGGGCCTCCATATGTGCAGGCTTTCAAAGACAAAGTGGCCCTAAGGCCACATCCAAAATGTTTGTCTAAGGTGAGTTCACAGTTTCACCTTAACCAAACAATATACTTACCTGTATTCCTTCCTATGCCGCACACAAATGCAAATGAACAGTGTCTTCATATGTTGGATGTGAAATGATGCTTGGCATTTTGTCTGGAGAAAATTAAACCATTTTGGTTATCGCCTTAAGTATTGGTCTCCTATGCGGATCAGATAAACGATCAGGCAGCCTCCACACAAATGATTTCCAGATGGATCACTTCCTGCATTACGACAGCATATGGGTAGCTCACACCACATCACCACAGAGACTTGTCGCTCATTCGATGAAGGCCCAAGCGGCTTCAAATCACATTCCTCAGTGATGTTTCTATATTGGACATTTGCAGGGCTGCTGACTGGTGTTCAGTGCATACTTTTACCAAACACTATGCTATTATGACCACGTCTGAATCAGATGCAAAGTTTGGAAAGGCAGTTCTGCAGATGTTCTTTAAGTAGACTGAGTCCCACCTCCTTCTGTTATTGCTTGTGAGTCACCTGACTGAAATACACACCTGCAACCACTCAAAGAAGGGGGGGGAATTACTAGGGTGACCAGACGTCCCGATAAAATCGGGACCATCCCGATTTTGAACTGTTTGTCCCGCGTCCCGACCGATCTCGCCACCGGGATCACTCTTTTTTTTTGCTCGGCTGCAGCACTCAGCTTTTTTTTTTTTTTGCCCCTCCTCCTTCCCCCGCCTCCCGGTGTCCCGATATTTTCTTCATCTCATCTGGTCACCCTAAAAATTACTTACCTGTACTGTATCTGCTGTACTTCGAGATGTGGGTGCAGATGTATTCCACAACCCATCCTTTGTCTCTTCTGCCTCAGAGTCCCCACTCATGCTTTCTTGTGCGAAGGCACTGAGGGGAGAGTCAGCTTGGCACTGCCCTTAAACACCCTAGAGAGGGGAGGTGCTGCCTGATGGGTACTTTTAAGCAAAGTTCTCTGGCTTCAATATGCTGGGGCCATGCACACGTGAGTGGAATATATGTCTGCACCCATATCTTGAAGAGTAGCAGTTTCACTACAGGTATACATTCTTTGTAAATAGAAAAGATTACATCAAAGAAATACCTGGACTCCATCATCAATTTCCCTTCCTAACTGAAACAACCTGCAGGACCCTGAATTTTGACAAACTGCTCAGGTCGAAAAAAGATAACACACTTTTGCTTGGACTGTGTAATCCTCATGCAAAGGGGAGAGTGAATGGATAAGTTTCTCCCCCCCCTCCTCTTGAGACTTTAAAAACTATTTTTCCTGGGAAGATTATATCATGGAGTAATTCACTGGAGGAAACCAGAAACTCTTTTGAATGCATCTTTTTGTTGTTCACATGAGAGGAAAACTAATGGGAATTTAATATTTTATTTCCAAAGTCTCCGGAAACACTTCTCAGATCTACTCCAGGTATAAAACAGAATCGCTTGAAACAGGGATCCCAAAAACCATTTAGATGCACTGATACTTTCTACAATGCTTGTAGATGTTTCACACTAATACACTCACTTCTCAGTATTCCTTAGCTTTAAATCAAAATACAGGCAAAAGGATTTGTCATGTGCAAGGAGATCAAAGAGTTGAAGTCCAGAAATAAAAAAAATATGAATTTGGGCCAGGAAGACTAAATATCCATTTGCTAATCCAACTTCTATTTAAGGGGAAATTATGGGAAGTCACTATTAAGACAATTATTCTGCAGAAGCAAGATTAGTCTAGTGTCTTTGGGCCAGGTTTTTAAGTAAAGAATGTGCAAAGTGTATGTGTCTTGGGCAGCTGCATTTTCAGCAAGCCAAAAAAATCAGATGAGGGAATCATAAATAAAAGCCATTATATAGGAAAATTAGTGCAATGTGGTGCACAAATGAAACAACAAATGGCTTTTTTTTTTTTAATGATTGCACGGGATTAAGCACAGCTAGTAGTAAGAACCTGAACTGATTTCCAAAGGCTGCTGTGTGATACACGTGCTGCAATGTACTCTTTTGTAGTTGTTTGAAAAGTATTGTACAGATACAGGAACACAGGACTGAAGAAAACATTAGTGTCCTTCCTGGTAGTTCAATAAGTTCTCCAGCGATCCTCCCACTGTCACAGGAGAATTTCAGTGTTTTTCAGTTTTTATTCTTGTTTCCCCTCAGACTGTGCTAAACAGTAAAGGAAACTTTTGTTTGTGAGATCAGAGAACAACCAGCCAGTATTAACTTCAATACAATAACAATGATTGCAATGATTCAAATCTTTTCATGCTGTATTTTTTTGGCATCACTTCTATAGATTTACCACAAGTCACAGGAGAGCTCATTCTTCTGTTTTTCTCTCTCACCCCCTCCCTCTCTCCACTCCCTCTTTTGTTCCTATTTCCTCTGTCTTCTGTTCCCCCTTCTGCTCCTGTCCCACCCACCCAATTCCTGTTCCTAACACCTCTCCTCCCCTGCAAGCTCCTATATTCCCTCCATCGAG